TAGTAGTAGTAGTAGTAGTAGTAGTAGTAGTAGTAGTAGTAGTAGTATATACATATTCGATACATGGAGGAAGTTGCAGCATGGATCTCAGAGACAATGCTCACATTGCCCAGCTCAAGCGGGACGTGAAGAAGGCTACAGCCAATGCCAAGCGAGCAACTCGGGCAGGCAATTGATGATCAAGGTGCTTGGACATCCTTTGGCGCAACAAGAGTGGCTACAGTCACTGTTGTCTCTTTCCACAAACAGTTACCTCTAGCCGTCAAATCCACTGGTCAGTTGATACTTCAAACATTTAAGGCAAGGTAAGTCTGAATGTTTCAGCCTCACCGCCTGTGTCTCTTTTTCACGATCTCAGGCGATTTCCATCTTTCAGGAGATTCAAGACCCTCCAGTGCTGTCCTCAGCAAACCGTCCTCCGGGCGCTTTGGGTGAAAAACCCGTGCTGTCCACCGGCCGGTTTTTGATGCTGGTGTCCGGCGGGAATGTGAGACACCATGAGCCAAGCTGGTCATGAGACTGGAAGGGGTCATTTGATCATATTTGATCTTTTTGTCCAATCATGAAAGACCAGGGGCAAATATCACTACAGTAGCTTGGAACCCCTGCTGTGTGTTTGAAGCTACTCATAGGGTCAATAAGATCCAGTCGTTGGGAAGAAAGAGGACGACTATTGGACCACCTTGAACGACCAATCTTCTGCTGTTATGCCATTGTTCAACATGTTGCTTTAAACAGATCAGCCACCGGGGTTACACGCAGCTTCACCGTGTAGTAGAAGGCAACCTCCCAGTTTTCTTGACCAGTTGCGGTTTGATCATGAATATAGACATTCAACATAATTTGCAATTGTAGAGGCATTCCCATGCCCATGTTATACACCAGTAGTAGTGTAATTGCATGTGTTTTTAGTTGTTTAACGTACACTGCCACAAGTAGATGCACAGACCCTCACAGGCTGTAAGCATCACCAATCACCAAGCCATGTATATATGTATATATACACATCAATATCTATTCAGACGGGACGATTAGCAGGGAAGAGGTAGGAGCAGGGAAGAGGTAGGAATTCTGCATTCTCTTGATCAACTTCATTTTGCATGACAGTCCGTATATGTCAGGGTGTGAACAATTGGTTGCATTCTGATAAAGTAACCTGATCAGACATACTCATGCACTCGACGAGTCCGAGTGGCAGACATACGAGTCCGCTTGGTAAAGAGTCGATGGACATATCAGTGCGGAGCCCTTGCATTTGATGGACATCATGTCCAGTGACCTATTGGCGAGATGGAGCTGCACGAGTTGCAGTTGCAGAATATTACTTCTTCGTTGAGTTCCTGGAGATGCTGCACGTTCATTTGAGTGCTGCACGTTCATAGGTGGACTAGCAGTTAAACCTTGATGGGCCAGTCCATGCTTTCTTTCAGATTTTCTTAGTGCACCTTTTCGTCGACCAACTAAACCAGCTTAAGCAGAATAAGCTTACCACATTCAAGGCGGTTACTTCAACAAAGTTCTTTCCCCCCAAGCAAACGAAGCTCAATGATGGACCATCCTCCTAATGGACCCTTGTGGGCGCTCCCAACTACCAGGGAAACCTACTTCTTCCCCGCTCCTACCTCTTCCCTGCTAGCTGGCTTGCCCAATCTATGTGTTTTTGCGGGAGTACAGTTTGTCCACCTTCCTCCCAACAAGTTGCGCTGATTGGTCGCCCCTCCAAGTTGTGGGCAGCGAGCCCCCTCCAAGTTGTGTGAGGCGGAGGCCAACGGCTGGCACTTGTTGGCAGAGATTTATGTGGCTGAGGGCGTCACTTGTATCAGCAGATGGCACGGTGGATGAGGCAAACAGCGGGCACGTAAACAGCAATTGGCGATTAGATTGTGACGAACCATCTTGGGATTAAGGATGCGTTTTTTGATCTTTTTTGGGCTTAGACCATGAGTGGGTGGACAACAAACATTGTGAACCTTCAAATATTGAAGATCTATGCTCCAGCACAGGATCGTTCCTGGACCCCAGTCTCAGGTAGTCAATTCTATTGGGTTGTTTGCAGTAGGTATTAAGTCCGAGATACAAGCAAGTAGGCAGATGACCAGCAACAAGCAATCTTCGGGTGGTTGGCCCCAAGTTTGAAAGTCCGCTGTAAGTGAGCCTCCCTGATGCACTTGTTTCATATTTTTACAGTACTTTTTCATGAGGCCATGGGCCAGAACAAGTTGGCATATCTAAGCAGCCTAACCTAAACAGCCACGCTTGGCACGTCCCAAAGGAAGCAGCATGTCTTCCTTCAATACCCTCAGAATCCCAGGTGATACCAGATCCAGCATGAACTGTCCAATAGTTTTGTCACTTCCATTTTTTGTTTTCTACCACATTATCCATGTAGGTAGCAGGTAGATATTACCTTCACCACCTCAATCGCCACATGCTAATTTACATGGACTGACTTCGTGGTAATAATGCATCTCAAAACGATTTGCTGGCCGTTTGAGGACCTCGCCAATGCCAGTGAGTGTGTGACCAACGCCCGGAGCCTTTGCAAGAGCCTCAAGGACCCATGCGTCGGCGAAAGCGTCGGGTTTCCCGGTTTTAAAACGAGGATGAAAGAGGCCACGAGAGTTGCGCAAACGTTTTTACTTTCGAACTGAACCTCAAGAAGACCAAAAAAATACATCATTGTGAATATAATTATGGTTAGGGAAATTCCGTAGTGATAGTGATCCCCTGCACTCAATCAACAGTCAAAGAATTGTCCGGACTATTTTGGTAGGTTTCTCCACTTGTATTTGTCTCACCAACCAAAAACGACCAACATGGTTTTCGCACCCACTTCTATCTACTTCTGCGCAGATCACGCTGTCCAGTCAACGTGAATCACGCGATGAGCTTGTTGGACTCCAGGCAAGTGATGCCACGGCGGACACCAGGCCACACCAGGCCTACCACGGTGGCTTCCACGGTGTGAAACCCACCACGGTCGAAGCCGAAGGACCATGTGGCTGAGACCAAGGCCATGGAGACGCTCGTGCCGCTCGGAGAAGAGGAACCGCCCCTTGTTCTCACCGAAGGAACCGCCCTTTTCATCCAAAGTACTGCAGGTCCTCAAGAGGCGGATGTGTTTTTTCCACCAAGAGGCGGATTCACTGGGATTTCTTTTTTTGTGTGCTGTTGGGTTTGCTGTTTGCCGCCACTTCTCTTCGCATCATGATTCATCAAGATTCTCAATATCAGTTTGGGGGAACAAAAGCAAAGGTCATCAAAGGTCCTACAACACAACTTGCTGATGTCAGTGATGCTGCAAATCCTTGCTGACACTTACGGCATATTGTTTTATATGCATAAAGTCAAACATATTGGGTGGGTGTTTTTCATATTGACGTGCATTCAGAACGATGGTCTCCAATGCGGCCGAAGCAGCCTACAAAGGGCGGCCTTCTTGGAGAACGACCAATTCCCTGAAGGGATCCAGGTTGCGAAGGACACCGCGCCGTTTCGGTGGAAAGCGGAGGGAACAAACAGGGTGCAATGACCATACCAACGAAGAAACCCTGGCAACAATTAAAAAAACCGGTCGATGTGCTTTCCAGAGCATATTCCACATGATGTGAGTCGGGCGGCCCCTTTGCGCGCCTGACTCACCCACGTTTGACTCGACTAAGAGTCCGTGGGTTTCATGATGCCGGGGGGTTCTGCCGGATGGATGGCTTCAAATATATAGCCCAATCGCTCCAGGTCAATTTGTGTTCACAGAACCCGCCCAAATGTGGGCTATTTGTGCTTCCGCCGAGTGTTCACGAAGATATGCATGAAGCAATAATTGAAGCAATACCATCCTCAAAATGATTAATCAAGTATATATCACCAAATCAAATGCATCAAATCAAATCAATTTTGTTAACATTCATCCATCAAGTCATCAATCACCACATCAGCTTCACCCCTGAAGACCTCACTATAAACGTCCAGATCTAGCTTACGGCTCACCCGCCATCGGTGCCATCGGTGAGGAGATTGTGAGTGTACATCACAAGGCCAATGACAAGGAGCGTGAGGGCTTTGCCCTGGTGTCCTTGGCGCAGCACCTCTTACGTCTCTCGGAACCAACGAGGAAACCAGGGTCCTGAGGGGTTCCCGAGGGTGCCAGAGCGCGCGTTTGGGGGATCGACGTGGTTGGAACCTCTCCTCGGGGGAACGACGTGGCTTTGGGGGGAACGAGCAGGATACCGTGGCAATCCATGAACCTCATTTCAGGAGATCCGTGGTTACGGTGTGAACTGGAGTTCATGGGTGCTGATTCTGGCTGGCAGCCACAGCTGAGCAGCTCAGCCGGGTTTTTGGAATCCAGACAGTCTGGATTTGGAAAGCAGGATTTGGGACGTTCGCATCCACAAAGTTTGCCTTGAGGATTTTGGGCGTTCGTGGCACATCCCGCAACTTGACTGTCCGAAAAGGCATACTCAAGCAGACCCTTAGTCCTTTTGTTGCTTTTGAAGGGACTTCTTACTAAACCACTATGAAGGTTAAACCCGTCAAACCCTTCGCAAAGGAGCAAACGACAGCCAAGACAAGTGGGACTGAACAACCACTTGTGGTGCCTGAAACCTGGGGGGTTCCAGTCCACTCCAGAAACGAATTCCCTAGAGATCCAAGTACCTTCTCAGGAGGTGATTGGAGACACTAGTCACTAGTATGTTGGTTTTGAGGGTCCAAGTGCCTTCTGAGAAGGTACTTGGATCCCCAGGGATTGTTCCAGCATACGTAAAACCAGGAGAAATGGTGACGTTGATTCACATTAAAATCTGGCCTGAACTCCTTTCTCAAAGTCACAGTCGATGGACACATCTCTGTGAGACTCAAAATGACTAAAACCGCGGAGACTGGCAAAGTGAATTTGGATGGCAGAGGAAAGTTGTCCACTCAGAAAATGAACTAAACCATGAACAAGCTGTGCACACATTGTTGTGCCAATAAACTGCAAAGTCCAAAAGCCACTGGCCTGGCGAAGTACCAGACACCATGCTATGTAACAAGGGAATGATACATTTATCCCAAACACCAACCCCTAAAGTACCTGGGTGTGCATTAAAGACCTCCCAGTTCGACCAATAGACCAGTCTACCCATTGGGTCATCGGGGTTGCCCATTAGAAATACACACCCACATCTGTTCTGCTTCCCGGACATCGTTCCCCCTTTGAGACGTTTGGAGATGTTTGGATCATCTCGACTGCGCCGCTGCCTGCAGGTCATTACGCCACTCTGATGCATTGAGAGAGGCCAACACATGCACAGGATGTACAAGACTGATAGTCCATTGCAAGAGCTGCTGGGAGGATGCCGATCTCGTTTCAGACATTTGGCGAAGTGAACCCTTTCAAGGAGGATGTGCCCATTTGGCGCACTCGGCCGGAGCTTAGGGGGAACATGCCCATAGAATCCCATCAGCGTCGTTGAAATCGTTTCTGACGATCTGGTGTTTTTCATTCATCTTCCATACGATGACTCAGGATGACTGTCTCTTTCACCGGACTTCCTTCGCACCTCCCCCCACCGTCCGCAAACCGTACGGTACACATCACCTCCCCCCACCGTTCGTCGCGTTCCTCGTCGCGTCGAGACGGTCTCCGCCGGGGCGATCCTCAGGACTTCCGAAACGCGGAGAAGGTCTCCGGCGCGGCCGAGTTCATCTTCCGGAGCATCCACGAAAAGGCGGAAGCAGTGATCTGAGTGGGGTGAGGTGAGATCGTACTCGCTGTACTGAGGGATGGCAGCCATGGCGGGGCGGGGTGAAGAAAAGAAAAACACTCTGTGAAATGGAGTACTTTGGCAGCAAGTACCAGTGAAGGACGATAAAGAGTATTGAGCACCACCAGTACAGATCATGATCTAGTCATCGGTCAGCATGGTATATCGGTGGTGTTTTCGGAGTTTCGATCTGTGTTTGATGCCCTTTTGTCCGAAGCCTTCAGGTGTGTACGATGTGGGGAGAAGACGGATCGGTCGGAGAAGTTGTGTGCTTGGTTGTGTGGTGTTTGGGTGGCTGGTACCAGGTCCACTCTGTCCACTCGCTAAGATGGAAGTGGAACAAAGTGGAAATGGCTATACCCTATATATAGCCTGGTTAAACAGCATTGTTTTCCAACAGCCTTTTTCCACTAATTTTGTTGATGAATCAGAGTCATTCATGTTGTGGCTTTGTCCACAGTGATACAATGTCTCAACATTTTGTTGAGAGCACTGGCAGATTAAGCTGCTTCACTGATTCAAGTACCAGTGCAGCAGATTGTACGTAATTAATTATAGAAATAGTGAAGCCTCGAATCAGCTAGACGATGAATGAACCAGCGACATGGATTACGGTGCGTAAGTCCAAGCTGTTGCGCCAAAACCTATCTATGGCATTCATTTGGACTGCAATGAACATGGAAACACAAGGTTGGGGGATGAGCAACCGTAGATGCTAAGCAGTTTAACTACCCCAACCCTGTGTGGTCCTCCAATCTCCTGTCCTGTAAAGGGTGGGGATGGAGGACCAGTAACTGTATAGAACCACGGGAGGGCTCGGACGACGGTTCCCGTCAGTCCGCTCACTCACGGCCTTGGCCGTGCCAGGAGGGTGTGAAGATGACACAATCCCTCAAGGACGGTAATTGGAAGAGTTGGCTGTGGGTCATGGCACCAGGATACTTTGGTCCTTGGTTGACCTAAGTGGAAGGTCGTTCGCTACATGGTGGCGCAGGGCTCCAGCATTGGACCCATCCCCAGTTGCTCGGAAAATGTTAATTACTGGCCATCAGCGGGCATATCATGCTTTCAAACAGTGATTGTGTTTTGGGAGTGTCCCAGATACCATCAGGATGATTTTGACCTTGGACATCCCTGGGTTTTATGATTCAGGGCTCTATCCGAATTTCACAGGAAACCAACTCAAAACCATACACAGTCAAAGTTTCACTTCGACTTTATGCGTGGTCGAACCAAAACAACAAGTGCTTACATGTGAGGATGAGGGGATGGTCTACCGAAGGACTCATTTTCATAGGTTATAGCTTATACTGAACTACTGAGCTGGAGAAGTGGAGAAGTATTGGATCGAACATCGCCAGGTGTTGCATCCGGAACTCACGCACCTGGCATTTGAGCAGAACTCACACGAGGAGGCAGCGGAGCATGGCCTGAAAGCGGAGCATATCCAACAAGCCGTGGCGCAGCGGCAGGAGACCGTGCGCCATTGCGGGCGGAAACAAGACCGAAGAGATGAGGTCTCTGGGATTAGGATGCGTCATCATACGCTTCCCCCTAGGCCTCTGAAGAGGGAGGCTCTACCATCCAAGTGGAGTAAGTAAGGTCATGAAAGGTCATTCATCAAGATTCTACACACAGATCTGCATACATTCACAGTGTTTCCACATGTGATTCTTGCATCTCAAGAGACGTCCTTTACTTCGCATGTTTGGTTGGACGTCTCCAGTTCTCGGACACCCTGACGATCGGCATCACCGGGGCTCCCGGAGACTCAAACGACAGGAGGTTTACCTCTCGACGTGGAGGCGAGTTGATGTATCGATGTATGTTTTAAATCTTACCTCTTTTGCTGTAATTATAGATTTGTATACCCTCCGGCCTCCAAAGCAGACTCTTGAGCCTCTCAAGCCTACTTGAAGACCCAGATCGGATGTCCAAGAGGATGCCAGAGGAACTGCTCTCAACAGGGCCGCTCACAACGTATGGGTGTGCAAGTAATATAGTTAGACATTGGAGACCCACGAGATCAAATGTTTGGAAGCTTCGGAGAATAGACAACCACGCCCTTGCTGGGCGGGGGGGGGGTGTCTTCCTCCTAAAATACCAACCTGTATTAAGCTCACCATGCTTTGCCACCAGATCCCAGCGCGGCCAGCCCAGCCGCCAGCGGCCAGCGTGCAGGAGTTCCTGAACCTCCCGCAGCCTTTGATCATCGATCCGGGCAGGAGCGGGTTGGAGAACCGATTTCATCACCCAGCCCTGCAGGTCAATGACCTCATTTGACTGGACGTTAGCTATACATATATATATATATGTATACAAAAAACACAGCAAATACATTACTCAAGAAGGTAAAAGACCAGGTTTTACTGGGTCAGACTGGACTTGTAGGGCACGGATGATCTCATTACCTATTCACACCCACCCAAAAGATCCGGCCTAAGAGGACTAATTATCCTAATTGCAACCTAACTCATTTTAGGTCTCTTGACCTTCACCCTCAAACAGAGTGATACCTGGGTGCAATGATTTGTGGCCGGTTGTTTGGTTGGGACAGGTGCAGACGGATGGCCTTGCATGATGGCCGTCCCCTGCCGGTTGTGGAACCATGAACCATGTCCCGTTGCCGATGCCAGTGCGGAACGAACGAATCCACGAGTCGAACTGTATCCAATTGGCAATGTTGCCAAATGCACATCATTGATCCAAAAGCTTGGGGTGTTGCAACCTATAAGATACCGCTTGTCCCATCAACCAGGAGCTGTTTTGATGCTCAAGCGATGTCCATTGGTTTAATTTGCTGTATGAGGATGCATGTCAGAAAGGATTCTCCAGATGACAATCCATGTTAGTGGGAGCCTTTGCTCCTAACCGAATTTATGGTCGAACAGAATCCTGGCTGGGTGTGACAACCTCAAAACCACACCAGTGGGACAACCTCCTTCAAAGGCCCATTGTTTTCGCACGAAAGGAAGACACGGATGCAAGAGGCCTTCAATGCACCTTGGCGGGACGTAGGGCAGAGCCCTTCTGATGTAGATCACCGGGTAGGGCTGTTTCTACTTCAGTAGGGCACCCGATATATAAATTGTGGAAGTGAAGACGACCGGTTTGATTTGGGGTTCCCCTGTCTTTCAATGGATGGTCAGTTGCACTGTATACAGGATGATACTTGACCAGGGCGTCGAAGGAGATAGCGAAAGGGGTGTAAGGGCGAGGCACTAGACCCCACAAACAGAGTAACATCAGATCAGTGTGATATAATATATATATATATTGTTTTTTCTATAACTACTAATTAGTATTATATAGGTCTCACGTTTTAAGAAGCGTGTTTGGCAGCCGCTACCTCCTCATTTTCCTTGGACAACCATATGAACGTGTAAAACATCTTTGGGGCAAAGCAGCTTCTGGAGGTCGTGGGAGCCCGCTCAAGCCGTTTCTGCCGTTTCTGCCGTTGCCACCTGACGCCCTATGGCACCACTGCACCCCCGAGTCCCCGGATTTTCCCCCCACCTTCGGCCTCAGGAATTTGCGAAATCCGCGTGAGGGCGGCATCAGTGCTTCAGTATCTTCAGTGCAGTCGGAGGGTTCTCCAGAGATTTGATCTTCAGCCACGAGGAAGCCGTTGCCACGTCGTTCGTCCCCACAAAAAAAGGAAGGCTTGAAAGCACCATGTGGATGAGTCCTTCTTTCCACACCCAAACCAACAGAACACTTCCTCTATGAGTCTCCATTCCAACACATGCTCTCGCTCATCCGCACGTCATCTGCTGGTGCTGGTGCCACTCGCACGTCACATGGCCAGTGCGTCTTCTTCGACAAAAGAAGACACGCGGTGGGACTGACGCGCGTGCTGCGGGGCGATGGCGGGAGAGGTGAGTGGCGTGGCGATGCTGGGGATGTTGATGTCAGACTCTTTAGGCCCTTGCAACAAGCGGAGTTGCGATATACTCCCAACCACTCCCATCTAACAGGGTACCATATTACCCCATGTTTAGCCACTGGCAAAACTGGATGATGCTGGATGTTTAGCCTTTCAACTTGTTGCTCGTTTCGAGTTAGTCGTGTTTCTAAACTCAACTGCAGAGAGCTCTGTGGACACCACCTTCATTTTCCGAAAATATTTCCGCGGCCGGGATTAGGTGAGATCCAGCAAGCACCTTCTGAGGTTTGATGTGGTTTTCCCAACCCCAGTTGGGTGCTTGCACATTTTGCAGTACGTTTTCCATTTCCTTGTGAACCTGTTGTTCTTTGTACACCGGGTTCCAAGTGTCCTTTTCAGGTGCAGGTCAGTTCGTTCTACAGATGTCGCCAGTCGTTTGTTTCCGTCGCCAACGTTTTTCTGCGCTCCTTTGACTCAAGCTGAGTTCAGACATCATCGCAGACATCCGAGATGTCCCGAGCATCCAGAGCTGCGGATGGAAATCAGTTTTCATTGTTGAACACCATGTCACCATGACATGCAAAAATGCATTGCCAGACTAGACTGGACAATTCTGTTGCAATTTGGAGGGTAAAGCTTGGCATATATGTGGTGGTCCAACCAAGAGACTCTCACCGCTCTTAATTTTGCCACGTATTCATCCCAATGTTGATCCAGATCTGAAGTTCTTCCAAGCACCAAAGGCACCCAAAGGTCTCCAAAGACCAAATACGGCACCAACAACGCATCCGAGCGGATCCATTGGAAGTGGATCCAAGCAACTCCCACCAACGGGTGTTACTCCCTGAGATCGCCGAAACAAGACTCATCCATCAGACCCCGACATGTCTAAGCCGATGGTCCTTGTGTGTGTGAAGGGGTCTTCACTCCCAAAACCACTCCGCTTTCAGGCAAGGTGACCAGGTCTGCAGGAGTGACTGGGAGTGACTCGCCCAGGAGTGACTGGACATTGAACCCAACGGATATCAACGGATCCTTAGGGACATGGATCTGAACCCCTAGAACAATCCCCCGCCCTCTTGGAGACCCAATGGGACTCAACCAGGTCCTCAGGGTGCATGACATGACCCTCAACTCGGGTCCACTCGGGTCCGGCGCGAAATGCCTCCAACCTTGTGGACAGAGCCTCAGTGATATAGGACGTGTAACTGATACTCTGGAACATCAAAGACCTCCTTGGCTTCTCTCTTACGCCGATCCTTTAGGGTTTACCCCGATCGCCATGCCGACCTCGAGTCCGCGCGCGTTCTGGAGCACGTACTCCACCGGTCGAAGACGGGCGGTGATCTGCAGCGCTTTGCTGCTGCAGCTTGGAGATTTGTGGTATTTGAGGCTTTGCGGGTTGCATTTGCGGAAGAGCCCAGACTTTGGCATCAAAAAGAGCTTGCATTGTCTCCTGCTTTCTTGAAGTTTATAATATATGTTTGGATAGCAGAGCACGAAGGTTCAAGTGAGCAAGCCTTCTAAGTTCTCAAATGCCTGCTGCGGTCACGCAGACCGTTTGTGGATGGTCGAATATTATTTCACAGAAGTCATGAATTGAGAAGTTTCAAGCACTTACTCCCCTGCAGATTAACTCGAACCTGAAAACCACTGGGTTGTAGAGACAAATAGTCTTCCAAAGGTCAATTTTCAGGTTCCATGTTAACCTGCAGGAGAGTAAGAACACTCACCCCCGCACAGAGAGAAGACAGTAGAGAAGACATAAACAGATCACATTGTTCCGAAGTGGAAGGATGTCTAGTGGTAGAGTGACACAGAAATTGATAGAGAAGGGTTTACCAATCCATATCCAATCCATGATTTCTTCAGTTTATTTGATGGCCGACGTCTTTTTTTCAAGCCATACTGACCATGTTCAGTCAACTCCTCGGACCAAACAGATGGTGTTTTCCATGTTTTTTCACTGCCAGTCGTACTTCTGAACGCAGGTTCCTCCCACTGTTTAGGGGGGACGCTCAGTCCAGATTCGCTTCTTTCCGCCCTTGGACAGCAGGACAGCGACCGCTTTCTTAGGATCTGCTCAGATCGGATGTCCTCGCGGCTCGGTCTGGTGATGCCAAGGCGAGAAGGGGTTGGGGACTGGTGAAAGAGGAGAGCACCACTGCCTCCGGAGCGCTTGGGTACATGGATGTTCCTGATCTGGAATGTCCAAGAGCAAGAGTTTCGTTCGAAGAGGACAGAGTGAACAGCTTATATATTCGGACGTTGGACCAGTTTCCTAAGAGTTCCCGCACCCCATCGACGTGTGGGGCACGGTTTCGCGAATTCGGAGAGGTCCGGAGCGTCGGTCAGGCTGGGCTTTCTTTCAGAACTTCTCTTCCGGGAGTCACATGGAGTTGGGTGGTTTGGCTTGTCCCTCGAAGTGAGCGGATGTGACAGGGGCACCCCGACTTCCATCCCCTAACCTCCATGGATAGTTGAAGCACCCAACTCCATGGCACTCCTAAGGTAAAACCCTCCGAGTGAGTTGAGTGGCCAAGCTCTCCCTGTTTCTGTGGCAAGGCTCTTAGGTGGAAAGCTTGGCAGCTTCGCCAAGCTCTCCCATGCCGAGCTCCGACGGACGACCGTCCATTCGAAAGAACAATCGACGGACGAGACGACCGTCCGACGCTGGCACCGTCGACCACCGTCGACCCCGTTTTGTCGGACGAGTTCGCTCGGGTTCGGTTCGGGGGGGAGAGATGACCATGAAATGGGACTCCTTCATAACCACGGGGTGCTTTAGGACATTTTAGGACGTTTAAAAGTGACAGATAGTGACAGTCGACTATAAATTATATGTTTATAGCTGAAGTGTGTTGATTACAACTTATTTAGAACCAGGGTTATCAGTACTGGGTATAATTCAAAACCGGTCGTCTTGGAATATCTCCACTGCTGTGACATCTATGTTGGCTCATGTCACGCAGTATTACAGTATCCTCCATGGCCCTCCATGTAGTTGTCCTGAACTGAACTGAGTTTTGGCATGTCGTCCAATCCAGTTGTCCAAGCTTGTCTCCGCGCAGATCATCCGCTCGGCAAGTGCTGTCAGGCGTGGATGTGAGGTCTGTTTCAGAAGGGACATGGATTGCCCGCCCTGAGCGGCCTGAGCGGTGTTTTAGGGTATGACTTCTCAAGATCTCTGAAACAAGTTCTCAGTTTGAGATTCCTCGGAAAGTGAGTCACCTAACAGGTGGGGTTGGCTGGCTAGAGATGCCCTTGGCTCACTCCGCCACAAGCTTCTTCCACCAGGTGGTAGAGGACATCATGTTCCAAACATTTTGTCAAGCTGGTAGGGGGGAATCATCTCAGGCATTTTGTCATGATCTCACGTGTGAACCGCTGCGGGCCAAGATTTCTGCCTACGATGAGGATCCCGTGAGAAAGGTTGGAGTGCAGACCTGAGTAGCCAAGAATTTAATAGCAAAGCCGAGAAGAATGTCCAGGACACTTTTTTGGCAGATCGTCGGATCGTGATGTGGATACCTATGTCCATGCACACCCATGGGTAGAAAAACATCTCTTCAGGGTGGTATTGGACTCTCCCAAACTCTCGCGCGACGGTCGAAGCCACCCTCCAACTCTGCCCCTCGCCTCGAGGATGGGTCAAAGCCTTGGAGCCCTGGTCCACCCTCACTAAACCATGGTAGATTGACACCTCCCAGACACTCCATGTATGCCATATATGCCGTATATACATTGACCCCCCAAAACCACCCCAACTGATCGGCACCCCCTCTTTATCAGTCCCATGGAACTCGTGTCTGGGCCTTGATACCCCCTTGTTTCTGGAGGAATCTGATCCTTTTCGCCGGTCCACACTCAGGGTGCCCAGGGTGCCCAGGGTCAACACACCCAGGGTGCCGTGCGTGACTGGTCCGGCGTGCAGAACGGACCTTTCGTTCGACCGACACAGGTGGAGGGCGTGCCCGGGTCCGGACCGGTAGAGGGGTCACGACGCGCATGAAAGCGCGGAGGGACTGGATGGATCAGTGGTTTCGGAGGTGAGAACTGGCAGACCCCAAGATGTCTTTTAAAGGAGGGTCTGTATATATATATATATAAATAATATATATATATATATAAACCACCAAACTGAACTTGGGGTAACTTGTGCCATCTGCTCTGATGGCCCACTCTAGTACAAACACCATGTGGCTCGCGGCGAGCTGAAGGAGGTTTGCAAGAACTGTTGCATAGAGGTCATGTCAGGCGTTTTTGGGGGGTTGCTCAGTGAGCACCCCAGATTCTTAGTTCTTAGAGTGAGATTGCTCGCGGAGGCGGCTTCTTCCTTGGCGCCCAAACGGCTGGGGCTGAAGGCTTGGATGCTCTTTTGCAGAAGAGGCTGGGTCAGGGAAGGAGCAGCAAGTTGGCAAGGGCAGCGGGTACCGGTGGTCATGCACCAAGTTTGGTCAACCCGGTGGTGGTGGTTGCTTTGCGTTGGACATGCATTTAATGTAAGAGGTGCGGGCACCCTTAGGTTTTCACCTTTTTTCACCACCACATGGTGCACCTTTTTTTCGGTTCGGAACATGATTCGCCGAGGTTCGGAGCAAGCTAGGCCAACCATGTAATTTGCACGGTTCTCCTCTCGCGCACCAGAGAGGTTTGGGGTTTGGTTCACATGTCGTGTAAAATATGTATAACAATAATTGTATCCACGGTATATAATACATGGGTATACCGTATACTATTTAGGACAATACAACTAATATTTACACAAATAACATATTCAATTTCTATACTTGAACCTCAGTTTGCGCGACCAGTATTTCCCGTTCGCTTTTGGAACATTTCATGACAGTTTGAGAAGTTTGATAGCATCATTTTGCTCTGATGTGGCTTGTGATCATGGGAATCACCCTGCTCAAAGATATACCGCTTACTATCATGGGGAATTACCACTCCTGATTCCTCTCAGTGCAAACATTCTTTACCATTGTCCGTCCTTGGAGCCAAGAGTGCTGTTCATGGAGATGGGCCGCACCAACAGACATTGAACACCAAACGACAGCCAGAAGAGCCTTTAATATGTCCCAGTCGTGCTGTAGGATGTTCTTCATTCAACAGGAAGCGTCAGGCCAGGGCCACGGGTTGATGGGGTTGATGTTGTGACCCCACCTCTGGACGTTGCTTCTACTTGTACGATCAGATCATAGAAAAAATGGGGGGGGTATGCGACTAGCAACATCTCTTCAGACATCTTGAGGCAAATGATCCGTGAACTCTACCAGACACTGGAGGGGCAAGAAGGGCAGGCACTACTATTCGCAAGGGAAGCGTGGTCCGAATCATTTGTCAATGAATCGTTCAACATGCAGAGAGGAGGTCTCCATGTTGTTCATTTGTTGGGGGGTCAAAGTAAGGTGTCATGAGATGTCATGACCTTCGAAGCCCGATCGAACAGCTCCTGCGCCCAGGAGCGGCAGGGACCTTACAAGTCCCATCTTCAACATCCCCCCGAAGCAGCAGGCAGGAAGATGCAGGAAGCGCAGGAGGGAGGGGAGGACCTTGAAGTCGTAAAAAGCATCAGGTGGTTGGTTTAGTATAGTGGATTTTGGGTATACCAAGATATCCCAAGTACCACTAAGTTGAGTGTTGTATGATTGACACCCTGATATCCGTTGAACAAACAAACCGGCCTCTTCAGAGCTCCATGGGATGATCACGAGTTCAAGAATTTCACGAGAATCGGATGCATTCATCTCGATTTGCGGCTTTGCTGGCGTGTGTATCTGCGTGTTCATCACGCACCACGTACTCTCCTCGCAGACTTTCCGAAGCAGGTCTATCCCCAGAATCTGGTCCTCCTGAGCAGCCCAAACCTCTCTCACCATCGGTTGTTCTCATCTCTTCCCATGCTTCCACTTCCTGGGCTTCACAACTCGCCGCCTCCGTTCTTCTGTTCTCCCCAGATGATCGTCCCGTCCCGAGTCAGGTCTATCCTGATTGGCTCGAGGGGAACTGGTCCGTGCGGAGTCGCTTCGTGGGCTTCGAGTTTCCCACCTTGCCCCGGCAGCAAGTGATGCGTGAGGAGACAGCGGAGGGCGGGTGGAGAGGGAGGGGTGATGGGGGTGGACGGGTTTAGGGCGAGGACTGGCCGGCCACCCAAATGTTGTTCGATGTTGTTCGTGGTGTTTGTTTGTGTCTTAGCAGTGAAACAAAAAGTTTGGCGGTGTGGTCGAGGTTGCCACAGTGGGATTGGAAGGGAAGTGGATGTAACTATCGAGCAGTTGAATGCAGTTGATGACCTTTGAAGGGGCTTTACCGGAAGATGGAGATCGAAGTGCTTCCCCAGACTAATATATATATATATATGCCTCACAAATCATTCGATCCCACTCGAATCATCCCGACCCGCTGTGCTGTTTTGGAGCAGGGCAGCGAGTGTTTCTCCGTTGGACGATTCCGCGGCGTACACCCTTGGGAAGACCTAGACAGAGTCTTGTACCATGAACGAAGCTGCGAAGGATGATGAAGGATGTCAACAACACTCAACGGAATTCAACAGATGCGATGTCCATAGATGTCCATTGTGATTGTTTGGAAGGTTCTTTGGGTTGGCCGAAACCAGCAGGAGGATGTGCCTGGATTCAAGACCTGCTCCATCATCGACTTTGCTGATGTGGGGAAGTCCCCATTAGAGTGGCTCGGGCGACGAACGCAAAAGGAGGAGGGTGACGTGCTCAGCCATCTGGCGGAGCGAAGCTGGGGAATGTTTGCTTGTGGATGATACACTAACATGGAAGTGGATGGCATGTCCCCGAAAGGAAGATGACTTTTCTTTACCAACAGGTGGGTTCTCCACTTCCTTGTGATGTGTTCGTCGGAGTTGAATTGTGTTTGATGGGTCCAGGAGTCCAAGTAGTTGTCCCGTCAGTATAACAATTTTGCTGCCACCCCGCCAGGGGTCTCGCAGGCAGTGGCAGATGAAGAGCAAACTTCGTTTTGGAGCAACTCAAACCCTTGCGCTTTTTTGTTCAAGACGCATCCAGAAGTGGAGTTGATGGAATACTGTATATACCTCACACTTATGATGATCAATTAACGCTGCCTGCGGTAGCAGCAAAAGCCAACAGTAGCGACAAAAGCATCTGACATGCGGTTCGGTGCATTTCCACAATGGTCAAGATGCTATTTTCCCATCAGCTTTTGTGTGATGTTATGACCCCAATGGAAGAGTCAGAGACTGCTTAACACCGCCTCACCGGCTGCGGCTTGCACCTCTTCGGCTTCCACCGGGCCCACCTAGCACGGGCCGTGCGGTCCAAGGTACAACATGAGCTTCGTGAAGAGATCGACGGACGGAGGCCGGTCCGACGTCCCGTCCGGTCCGACGTCCGACGTCCGGTCCGATCGGCGCCAATAGCTGGAGAGAGTGGGGGCACCTGGAAGGTTTTTGGTGTGAGGTGTGGAGTGTCTTGGGCCTTGGGTGTTCTTTCTTGGACTGGTTCCAAGAAGAACTTGAACAGGGACAGTAGAGCAAGGGTTTAGGGTGTTCAAGTTCTTCATGGAACACCCTAAACCCTACAGTTCGCCATGGAACTGGTTCAAATTCATGGTCCCTTTGAATTTACACCTCCTCGCCTTCGTCGCGAACCGTCGAAATTCGTCGCCTCGCTCGGTGGGTTTGCACCGGATGCTTACTATATAGGCCTTCGAGCAAGGCGTAAGAGGGATCATGAGGCCTCCCTTCTAAGACCATTCCGGAATGGCCCCCCAGAAGGTGAGAATTCCAAGTTCATCCCACCTTGGAACTTGAGTTTGATGTACCACAACTTCAGCCCCACAGACCTCTTCAGCTGTTTGGACATGGATTTCAGGCTCTCCCCGGCTCCAAAGAGACCTGGTCTCGGGTGGTTGAGCCATGGTCTTTTTGTAGGACACACATGGCTTCACAATGCATGCTGCATGCTTCCTGCATGTCCGAAGACACCACATTGGAACTCGTTGGTAACTTCTTCGAAGCCTAAACGCCTAAAAAGCTTGAGAGAACAACAAGAACAACAACAACAACAGCAACAACAACAACAACAACCACAACGACAAAGTGTTCTATCATGTTCTATCCTTCTTTCCTCTTCTTTGCCTGAAAAGAAGGGCATCCTCGGACCCTGGAGGTCGGACCCGGAGCCTTCCCTCCTCCCGTCGTCGTCTCAACAGCCCAGCCCAGGAGTCGTGGAGGATTGGCCCTCGAACCTTTGTTCCACGGTACAGGCGCACCTCGCCCGAGGCCGAGTGACCAGTGCCTTGGTCTGAACCGCCGGATCAAAGGTGACCTACATGTGTTGCTTGGTGACCTGCAGGACTGGAGGAAAGTGACTGTCCTGACTGCCGACGATTTTTTGCTTCCTTTTTCTTCCTGACTGTCAAACATGATTCGACTGCCTTCATGGTTGAATGGCGGGTTCGTAGGGAACGAGAAAAAGACCCGATCCCCGTGACTGGTGCCCATGGCAATGCTGGCTCGCCTGGGAAGCCATGCTGTGGAACCCCCAACCACAAGAATCTCAAGACAGTGAGCAGTCCATCAGCTGGTAGTTCTCCTCCAGCAGAGTAGCTAGATTTGGAAGAGGCATCGGGCTGTCCAAACACCAGAAGCGGCGTGTCCCTTGACAGACAGTTTGTTTTGATAACATTATCATTGAGTATGTCCAAGTAGACAAACAGCATTTCTGGCTAGGATGATCCTCCTTTGGGCGCATACATATTGAAATACGTATTGAAATAGTATTATTTTAGAAGCGGCCTCACAGTTGACATTGCTTTAGGGTCCATCACCACACCTCCCATTCAACTCACCATCCGCGTCCGCTCTCAGGCGTGGACTACAGCCCCAGCCAGGATCCGAACCGGCTCACCATGAGGCGAGGCAGACGGGGAAGCGAGAGAACGTCGCATGGGAGGAGTTAGGTGTTTGAAGTATGGTCCTGGGATTGGGTGGTACGTGCCCACAGTTGCGCTGTGAAGACTTTGGGGAACATGACAGATGCTAAACAATGCTAAATGAAAGTATAGCCGCTGTGGCTTGCTGTAGAAGGCTTTTGTATGGAGATGTATTGAGAATCCCAGGCTTCTGATGTGGAAGGACTCGAAATGAAGGCTCGGTAGCCGTCGCAAGTTCTGCTAGCTGCTAGCTGTGTTGCCACGCCCGGAAAAAGATGCATCACACAAGCTGTGTTGCCTTTTTTGTTAAGAATCTCCAAAGGAATATAGCATAAGAATACATAAGACTTTGACACCTTCCACACATTGACTGTTCCGAGGTTCTTTCGTCTCCTGGAAACCATGATTTGTTTTCATTATTCCATGATTTGGCAGCGCTGGCCGCAGATCATCACCGTCTGAAAACGATCTCGTCAGATTGACGGAACTAGAGTTAAGTCCAGGGTGTGTCCCCTGCCTACCAGGTATCACTATTTGTAACAGATTATCACTATATAGTTTAAAAAGAGCCTGCCAGCTTCTTCAAAGTGACCTTCTTGGAGTCCCCAAGTGACCTGTTACAGGCCTGTTTGTGACCGAACCAACCAGGTGATCAAGGTCGGTCACTTTGAAGAACCAGGTATGCATCATCCATCATCCACTGGGGCCTATCATTCCTTCCCATGGGAAGGTTGAACCTCTCGTTGCCCTGGATTTGTCCGGGACATCGTCCAGGACATCGCTTCATTCGGTTTCACCTCCCCGGCCACCAAAAGAAGCGGGCCAGTGGATCCCTATCATCTATAGATATATCAAGCAAAAATAAAGTACCAGTACGTCTAGACGTGTTCAATCCATGTTCTTGAAATACGCGTTTGTATCTTCCTTTTTGAGCTGTTCATGCTATGATAGCTCCTCGTTTCGAGCCGCCTTGCCTCAGGCTCGTCGCCTCGAAGAACGCCGAGCGCGTGGAGCTCTTCGTGAACGCCCGGGACGCCGAACGGCCCAAGGAGCCGGGGCGCAGAGGGTCGGTTCGGTTCCCTGTTAGGGAATGAAGCGTTGGTTCATTTTGTTGGGGGGTGGAAAGTGGGTTGGGTGAAAGATGACGGGGCAGGCGAAATAGATGGTCGGATGAGTCTATAATATACAATAATACATGGTTTCTGCGTGCTGCAGGGAGGTGTAGATTATTGGGTGCGCGAATGATGTTCGTTGTTTTGGGAAGGGCTTCATAGGGGTGATAGCTGAAGGCGGGAAGCCAGTCCAAGAGAGAAAACTCTCTCAGCTGGATCCCCAGATCCGGGACCCCCGAGCCTGAAAATGGGGTTCCAGTAGAAGTCCCCAAGTCCATAGGGGGATCTCAACCTCGGGTGAGGCGATGAACATCAAGTGAAGATACGGAGCTGACCGGTCAAGCGGTCAGCGGTCCCAGCAGAGCTCCCTCCCGATTGCACCACCAGGCATAGTGTCAACCTAGGTCACCACGCATAGTGTGGTCACAGGTCACCATGCATAGGTCCACAGAGGTCAACTCAGGTCCACAGAGGTCAACTCAGGTCCACAGAGGTCAACTCAGTCCACGGTCCACTCTTCTCACCAGTCAGTGGAAAGCCACCAGTGGACAGGTCGCAGGGTTGGCTTCGGGTGATGAGCATGGCCAACAGGGGCACCAGCTGAACTTTCAAGACACGGAACATCGTCTTGAGAGTTGCCACGTTGCAGGGCTCAACGTAATAGTTGCCAGGGTGGCACACTTTGCGAACAAAGTGACAAGAGTTGGATCTTTTTGCTTCAAGAGTTCCCACAAATTTATCGACCAGGCAGATCTTTCAGTTGAATCTTGATTTGGAGATTAGATGTTATTAGTGTTTGTTTCATGTCCAATTGAGCATTTTCCAGGTTATGTTGTTGAATTGTTTGTTTCTCATGTTTGTGTGGGTCACGGTCATGCCCCTTCAGGAGGATGTCTTCCTTTGCAGCGAGTATCGGCGATGCTTGGGCTTCGTCCGTCCGACGGGAAGCTTCGTCCGTCGCTCGAGGGTGGCCAGCAGAGATGTCAAAAATTCGTGAGTTGAAACCACCAACCAGATGTCAATGTGCCTTCGAGCTACACTTTCCTGAACCCTGGGGATCCAAGTTGAAACCTCGTTTTCTACGGCCTATAGAGGAAGAAGAAGCCCAACCCAAACCAACGCTAGTAGCTATTTGCTCCTAGTAGTAATGCCCTTGTTACTAGTAGCGATGCCCTTGTTCCTAGTAGCTTCTCGTTACTAGTAGTAATGCCAGGAGCTACTAGTAGCGTTCTTGTTACTAGTAGTGATGCCCTTGGTTACTAGTAGCTTCTTGTTACTCGCATTGTGGGTCCTATCGCCCTTGCTAGAAGCCCGAGGACAGGTGACCTTCTCCAGCCGCGTGCAGCAGGGATACAACTGTCACCTGGCTGTCACCTAGCTCCTGCTTGGTCGAAGCTTCAGCAGCAAGACGTTGGTATATGGGCTTGGTATATACCCCTGCATCATGAGTGGTTGGACGTAGACAGGCTTGGACGCTTGGCGGATGGTGTGGTGGGGTGGACGCCGGACGTTTGGTGGATGGTGTGGTTGGATGGTTCGGTCAACGAGGTTCCAAAGGAAGGGCCGTAAGGTGTGACGATTGATTGGTAGAATCACTTCTTTTTGAAGGGACATACGCCATACGCAGAGTTTGAGGCAAAATTGGCATTTTTGCCTGTATTTGATACTATTTGGGAGCATCAAAAACAGGAGAGACCCAGGAACTGCCTGGCCAAGGCCGATTTGGGGATGAGGTTCTTTTTGTGGTGGCCACCGTTCGCCATTTAAAATAGACCTGTTTGTTTCGCTGGTCGCCCATGTGCCCATTCTCGCGCCTGGTCCTCCCAAGAATCGCCGTCCTCGGGAGGCAACTACCAGCACTACCGGACCTTCCAACGTGCCGCTGCCAGGGAAAGTGTGGTGAGACAGATGGGTACTCCAATCGATTGGAGAGGGATGGGGAGGGAGGAGCTGGAGAAGTAGCTTGCAAGCTGATTGGTTCTTCAAGCTTCACAGGATGTGCACTATAGTGCACTTGCCACTCAAACTTTGAGATGCAGCTATCCCTTTCTGCACTTGTGCAGCAGCAAGATACACACCCTTAAAAAACAAAAACATGAAAGTTGAACACCTGTTTGTAGAGGAAAATGGTAATCCAAGGGGCTATTTGCCACTTCCATGATTGTTCCAGGGAGTGTGTATAACTGTATAAATATGTATAAATAATTTGAAGTCTGGAGCTAGAGTTCTCAGAAGAACGGCCGTTTCTCTTATGCAGCCTTTGCGGCGCAGAGGAGCTTTAGATTTCAATTCAGCATTTGCCACACTGAATTTGCGTTCAACAGACCTGCATGTCCTTCATCTACCTTCAACCAGACTGTCGTTTTACCTCATGTTTCCAAGGACAGGCGGACGGCGTCCGGCTGAATGTGCTGACAGCAACTTGGTGTATCAATGATATTCGATAGAAGATAGATGTGCTGTGGTCTAAACATGTCTACACCCTGGCCTTCCAAAACCATTACACAAAAGGTTGACCTGATTTTGTAGTCTAAAATCCTTTGTCAAGCAATGGTTGTTCGGAAAACCATGTAAAACCCATTCTCATCCATTATCAATACTTACAGCATTGGTTGTTGGACGCCTAGGGTAAATAGGACCTGTTGTCCTGGGTGCCAGTTCCCGCCAGTCACCGCCCGTCGTCCACGTTTGGAGGGAGGTCTGTCGTCGAAGCACATCAAGGACCTCCGAAGCCATGTCTGGAGAGCGAGAAAATCATGTTGACCAGTCAACGCCGGACAGAGCGTCCGCGTGGCGGAAGACGATGGCGGACGGGTCGAACATCGAGGGCTAAGATGCCACCATTGGGCAAAGATGAGCCCAGAAAAAGCACGGAAATCTAGGCATTCCCAAGGGTTTGATGATCCGCCGCTTGGGGTTGGAAGCAAGATCTGGAGATTGAGATGTTTGCCGCTGTTTGCCTTTGGCCAGCACGGGAGGTTCTCGTCGTCGCCGAGAAGGGCCGGCATTGCATGGGAGGCGCTCAAGATAAATCGCCAGACTGGTGTTGAAGAGGAGACCAGCAGGCCATCGGCGCTGAGTGGTTCCAGACTTTCGCAACGTCAGTTCCAAGGAATTGGACAAGCTTAAGGGTATCCCAAAAGCAGTCATTCACGACCGTAAGCTGCTTAAGCTTTGGTGGAGTCCGCCACGACTCCTGCGCTAGAGGCAGGAGGACTCCTGGAGACCAGGAGGACTGACACTCCGACGAACACGTCACATTGTTACGTGGAGACGTGCATGGCATGGTCCCTTGGAAGACCAAGATTCCTCTACAAACAGAGGGTTTTCCACTTCCATGTAATGTGTTCGGCGGGGTGTGCACATTTTTTAGTTGGAGGATCAGACAGATTGTTTGTAGAAATTTGATCGGACGACAGACAATCTCTTTGAATGATTCGGACAGGTTTGTCTCTTTTATGCGGACTACTACTACTACTACTACTACTATTACTACTATTACTACTACTACTACTACTACCACTACTACAACTACTACTACTACTACTACTACCACTACGACTACCACTACTACTACTACTACTACTACTACTACTACTACTACTACTACTACTACTACTACTACTACTACTACTACTACTACTACTACTACTACTACTACTACCTGTACTACCTGGTGCTTCAAAAGTATAGCATATTTTAGGAACAGGTATTAGAAGATTTTTTTTACATTGTTTCTTTTTGAGGGTGTAGGTTACTTATTTTTAGGATCTAGAGTGTTTTGGGCTTCCATCCATACTTTCAATAAAACACATTTTGTCATGTGTAGCAGCTTGGGGCTCAAAAGTGGCTGGGTTGTGCATTGAATGCATGTTTGATCACTTGGATTGGGTGATTGGTGAAGCCACAGGAGTTCTCATATCTACTCGTACTCGTACAGTGGGCAGCCATCACGGTTTCTTTGCAATTTTGCTCTATACCATTCATTACCCCTAGGAATCTGGCGATCTTTGGCTCGTTTGGAAGAAAAACCGTGCCGGACATTCCCAGAAGTGTGATGGACATGTCCTGGAAATGGTGCTGGAAATGCCCGCCAAAGACAACAGATGACCCATTTGGAAGCAAGACAATTGACAATTTTGATCTGATTTTGTAGATGTTGGGCTCAAGGTTTTTTGGCCACCATGAACCTTCACGCACTGAAACCCCAGCTAGGCGGGACGTATATCGAGGGATTCCCTCGCCTCCAAACAGTATGGATTGGGGTTCAAAGCCTCGATCATCGCTCAGCCGAGTCAAGAAACATATCCGACAGAAGAGAGCACGAGATGGAGAATCGGCTGTCGGCTGTGGTTGACTTCAACGTGTTTTCTCCAGTTTTCCATCATAATACTATTCCTATGATTGTCTTGTTGTTCTTTTCAGGACATATTCCTTTTCTTAGATGTTTGTCACCTGTTTACCTTGAAAAAACCTTTGTCCCTAGAACTTTGCGACATGTGATCTAATGAGATACTATGAGGGACCCGTGTTCCCAATGATTCCCAATGTGTAGGCCTTGATTCAGCATCCTTTGTTCCAGAATCTCGGGTCTTCTCCAACAGGTGACTGTCCACCAGACTGGCTGATCTAGGGTCGCCTTGCTCGGCTCAGGCCAGCTATTTGGATCCATTGAGCCCGCTTTATTTCGAGAGCTTCGACAAGCCACTTGGAGGAGCACAGGCGTTGAACTAACATGGAAGTGGAAAATGGCCCCTTTGCAAGACAATTTTCTAATAGGAACAGTATTATTAGTGTCAGTTCCAGGCAGTGCAACCGGACCAGCCGCAGATGGAAGAGCATGCATGGCCAGCTTTATTTTTAGTGACCCGAGGATAGCCCGACTACTTGGCGCATTGGGACCAGCAAGGTTATGCCTTGATTCTTAAGGAATCTCTCACACAACCTTTTCGCCAGCAGTTCCATGTTGGGGGTCCTATCCACTAACTGAAGAGCCAAAAGACACCCTGGCATAGAACTTCTGCTACTATGAGTGCTTTTCTTGTGTGTTTTCAATTTTTGTGCTCGAGTCTCAGCGGCTAAGCCGCTCAGCCTTGCTCCCTCTTGCACGAGCCCTGATTGTGCAAACTGGTCGATGTATAGGTTGTGAATGGTTATGATTATTTGCTTAACGTGTATGATGGATGATTATTGCACTCTTTTCTCTATTTGTTAATACGTTCCTATATAGTCGATCCTCACCAAGCATTCCGAGAGACACGTCAGCGTTAAACCTCCAGACTAAGAGACTTGTTACAGGTCGGTTGCGTCCGTCGCATGATGCGACCACCCTGAAAGCCGAAAAGGGTCCTGGTGGTTTGAACTCACAGAACTTCACAGAACTTCACAGATTTTGGCCATGCCAGCCGGCCCGATATTGGATTCCATTCTTGTATTAATTATTGAATATATGTTATATACTGTATCTTAATATGTTTGTTTGTTTTGGGATGCTGCAGACTCGATCAACTCACTTCATCCACTTAATCCATCGACCGAGCCATATCGCCCACCCAAGGAGTCGGATGGACGTCGTTCCCTCCGATGAACCGATGGACGTCGTGTGCAATGTGTGCACTGCACTGCGTTCTGGGTTTGGCTGCCCCCACCCCTGAATTCACACAGGGGATATGTTTTGGGCCATATGTTATATACTATATGCTGCTTATGCTGAAGACCGCCACAGTTCGCCCGAGGCCGGTGGTGGTCTTTGCGCATGAGTTGCAGCTTTCGAGAGCTGAGGCGGTGTGACCGGGGAAAAGAAAGCACCTGGCGCATGGGCGCATGGCCTCGCGCGTGTGGTGTGGCTATGGCTGACATACAGTGTGTTTATATTATATCGTATATATTGTAATAACCCTTCGGACATGCTTATGTATCATAATATCTCGTAATCAGAGAGGTGGACCTGCAGATACTATAGAGGCTTGCGTGGTGTCAGCAGGAAGCTCCCTTGCTATGTGCAGGAAGCTCCCCAGCTCTATGAATGCTGGACATGTTAAGTGTACCTCAAGGACCCAGACATGTGGACTCTTGATAAATAAGACCCCCAACTCAAGAGGTTGGGGGGGTGGACTCTTGATGAAGAGTCTACACGGGAGTCTCCTTTCAACAACGAACTCTTGGGCCGACAGCGGTGGGCACCGCGTTGATCCACATATCCTGCGGTTTTGGCAGGTTCTGAGAGGTTCTGAAAGGGGGCCCAAGAAAGGACCAGGAACACATGACCCATGTAGGAGCTGTAGAGACAATCCCCTATCTATTCCCATTCACCAGCTCCTGAGGCCACCCCCCCTTTGGTCGATCTGTCGCTCGTCGTCTTGGTCCTCCGGAGACGACTTGATCGGTGACCCCTCGATGTCCGATCTGTGGCAACGAGGAGCATGTGAGGCAAAGCATGACTCGCATGACAGAAAGCCAAGCCCCACTTCTTTCTTTTCTTGCCACACTAGCAGGTTGGGGAACTCAGGAGGATACCAGGGGTATCCACTTCTTCCCTTTTGAAAGGGGAGCCGTTCAGAGCTACAGTTCCCGAAGCACTTGCTATGGGCCCCCACGGTCTTTTTTTGAGTAACATCCTGAACGCATCCCACGGTCTATCATGGGATGTCACGTGTGCAAGTCCGTTCTGCTTAGGAGGCAAAGAAAGGACGCTGCAGTTGTTCTTTAGGGCGCGTTTCCGGGGCCAACTCCAACTCCTCCAACTCTTTCAGTTTCATTCTCCAACTCCTCCAACTTCTGAGGTCTTCATGACCTGGGATTGCCAGTTCGCCTGTGGTGATGGCCTGGTCGTCGGGGAGGTGCACGAGGGTCACGAGGGTTTGACGAGATGCAGCGGCGAGCGGTGGAGTGGTTCTCGAGCGATGCAGTGGAGCTTCGATCCAGTATTTGCGGTTCAATATATCTGTCAATCTAAAGAGACCACTCAAGCGTTTTATCATGTTTTATCCGTTCAGGTTGTTGGTTCTTTCACAGATGTCTGCAGTCTCGTGCCACCATTTTGTTCTGTGCAGCGTGCCAGGAGCAGTGTGACGATGGGAACCTGGACGCGCTGGATGGCTGCGATGCGAACTGCAAGGCCGGTGTCTCCCTGCGCGGTCTCCGTTCTCCAAAAAAGCAAGCCGTTCAGAGCTGGAGCTCAACTGGGAGGTCCCCCGTTGAGTTCTTCGCGCGAGCGAGTGTTGGGGCGAAGTCTGGTAGCAGCCGCCCATCTCATGGCCCATCTGGCACTGCAGGGCCATGCTGGCTGAGAGTCCGCACAAGGGCGATGATCCTGATGATGGCTGTTTTATAACGGATAGCATTTGCGAGACAATAGGGCCCTCAGACGAGTACCTCAGTGTGCATTCCCAGTTTTAGGTGTGGACCATGTGTGGACCCTAGAGGGTGTTCATCCAGTTTATCGCAGCTTCATGTCAACAGAACTCATTGACCCTAAACTTCTTAGTGTAACATCCCAGGTAAAACGATGGTTCTTCGGAGAAAAACAGTGCTAGGAGCCCTAGGGCTTTGACCAGACCAATAAGGCCGATGGTCACCCTGACTCCAACGGAGGTCACTCTGGAAAAACCACGGGTCAATAGACCTAGTGCTGGGGAAGAGATCATTTGGAGTGGTTTCAGAGGTTTGATGGCGCAAACCTAAAGATGTTTTGGGGCTCCATGTAAACCGCCGAAATTGAGGTATATGTCCGAAGCGGATCCAAGAATGCGCCTCTTTTTGGACTGCGCGCAGTTGGTGCATACCCTCGCACTTTCACGTCGACCGCGCGAATTGGCGCCAATCTTGACAGGGCGGTGACGGGGCCCCTGTTGGGCGGTCAAGCAAGGTGTGATTTCCTGTGCCTTTCCAGCTTCAAGATATTTCCAAGCTCAGCAGACTGCAATGGCAGCCGCTGGTCTGGCGGTGACTGGAACTGGTTTTAACCAATTGAAGTCACCAACGGGACGACGGCGGGTCTTCACCGGGGGGGCACTGAGCCTGCTGGGTCCATCGCTGGGTTGACACGCCAACTCATGGCATCGGAGGGTAGGAGCATTTCCAGACCCTGGAAAGCACCCACCGAAAATCCATGAATTCAGAGTCTATAAACCGTTTGTCCGCAAAAAACATCCTGAAATTCACTGAAATTCGGAGAGAAAACACAGAAAGACACCATATCATGTTCTGTTGCGTTTCCTCTTGAAAGGGGCACCGTGCTTTCGTTTCCTCCGTTGCTTTGTCCCGGCCTGGATCCATCCAGGTGGAGCCGGGCTTCGTGTGCGATGGCTCGCATGGCTTCGCTCCGTCCCAGCGGCGTGGTGGAAACGGTTTGGAGATGGTTTTCCGGGCAGAAGGAAATAATCCACAAAAAAAGCTGGAATTGATATGTAAGGATATGTAAATATACCGTACATGTGTTTATTGTGTAAACTATATATATATATACTTTAGTAATCTTTAGTATACTGGGTGATCAGTCTGTAATCCAAAGTTATCCTATGACCTATGATGTGATGTGATTCTACACCAACCGTCATGGTGGGAGATAGTGTTGATATATATGTTATGATATGTTTTCACCATCTTTCATATGGAATGAAGTTTTTGGAAGATGAGGCAGTTCTCGAGAATTGAGCTAAAACATCCGATTACAAGGACCCTTTGGAGTAAAACTGATTTGAAATGACCTCACCAGCGAGATGCAAAGTCACACAATGAAAGGTTCTGAATCAAATAGAACCAGTATGTCAGTATGTATACCTGAGTCACCTTCCATGTTTATGTAACTGTAACCACTTGGGATTTGAGGCAAAGGTTTGGTTCAGCAAATAATTACATCTCCATACAATTGAGAGCGACCGAGATCGCTCTACTATTGCATTAAGAGGTTGACATGCCCAGCAGCACCAGAGAGTGGAGGAAAAAGGCAGGGGAATTGATGGTGAGTTGCAGGCTCCAGGGTGCCTGACCATGTATAGAGTGCATTGATGGTCAGGGTGCCTGAGTCAGGCAGGGTAATTGATGGTTTCAGGTATGTCTGATGTTTTGGGTGCCTGACCAGCCGACGACCTGCGGACGGGTTTCGTGGATGGACGACCGGCGCCGGCTCAGGTGTCGAGCCATTGGCCTTTTGGCGGCCAGTGGGAGGTTGGTGTAAGGGGGAGTCGAAGACGACCGAAACCTGGGATCTCCTAAGTGTAGCACATGTGGTGCTACACACCACCGTGTGAGCTGTGTACCCAGGGCTGGGTAGTCTATTTGGCACCTCGCGATGGTCCTGGCACGTAGATGATGTAGTCTTTTTCCAGACTGAATTCCTGAGGATAGTCCCCTTAAAAACAAGTTGTTCTGGATCCGATGTTCTCCCTGCTGAGTCATCCATGGGCACCCATGGGTGGGTCGAGACACGTCAAGGATCGTCACTGAAGTATCTTCATTCACTTTCTACATTAGATGTAGATCCCGCTGATGCCATGGCGGTATGCCATCGTGCCCCTACAAGCCATACTACTTTTGGGATCCCGCTGATGACTTGGAATTGTTCCTTCTTTGCGTTCTTTTCGATCCTCAGAGGTGGAGCGGAACAAATGGATGTGGTGCGAGCATGTTTGACCCAGGGAACGGCGCTTTATTTTCTCTAGTTTGTTCTGTTGACAAGTGGCATTAATATGGTACCCTAACAATCCATGTATGGTGTATTTGCCGACATTCACTTGCCTTCCGTTCGACGTTTGTTTAAATCGATGTTTGTTGGAAGTGTAGGGTAATTACATTCACTTCTGACACCACCCCAATGCCAATGTATGTAAATATTGAGAGCTCGTCACTGTGAGCGTGCACCTTTTTAAGCATTTCAAGCTGCCAAATCTTGCTGTGGAAAGTTTTCAGCTCATACCAAAGCCAAAACTTCTCATGTGGACGAGCATTATTTCTTATTCATTTCTAAATAGTTATTGACTCAATTCTATTTTAATTCTATGAATTTTGACTTAAATACAATTCAACTAAATTCTAAATCAATATTTATTCTAATTGAATTTATTTCATTTCTATGTTTATTGATAATAAAATTGGATCTCAATGAATTTTAAATTGAATTTGTTTTGAATATGTAATAGACTTCTATTTCAATTCTAAATTGAACCTAATTACATTCTAAATTAAGTTTATGTATTATTCTAAATTAAGTTTATCTCTTTTTAAAATTCATTATAATCAAATTAGAGGTCAATTTTATTCTAATTTAGTTTTGTTGTAATTGTAATTATCTTTGATTATTCTGGATCTAATATTAAATTCCAAATTGAATTTATATGTGAATTTGCAATATATTTTTATTTCCAATCTAATTCTAAATTGAATGTATTTGAAAGTCTATTTATTGGAATTCAAAGTGAATTTGCAATTTTTATTAAAGTGAATTATGTATAACATAATTTTATATCAATATTACAATATTGTTCTATTAATTAATTCCTAGGTTAAATATCTTTAATTCAATTCTACCTTAAGTCTAGATCAATTTCAATTTGAATAATGGATTTTGGTTTAATATTATTCAATTCTAATTTAATTCCAATCTATTTCTCATTTAATTCTATTTCATTTTGTTTTGCATTAAACATTGTAATTGTGTTTATTCCAATTTCCAATTGATTTGTTAATGATTTCTAATGTTAACGTCTTTATATAACTTAAATTCAATTGATCTATATATCTAATTTTCTAACTTGATTCCAATTCAATGCAAATGGAATTCTAATTGAGTTTTGCTTCCAT